TTTTGAATCAAGAGTTGTTCACAAAAATAATGCTCACCTTTGGATCTCGTCCGACTTTCTCCAAAAGCGATATTACAGATCGAATATGCCCTTCGTTGATCATATTCAAAGCTTCTGGAGACTCAGTCAACACACAATACAGCACATCCAGGATTCCTAAAACAAGGAGAATTATGTACCATTTCAATTTTATCTGAGTCGTGAGTACCTTCAGCTGATTGTGGGTTACTCAAACGTCCAAAAAGCCAGTCCAATCTTTGCGCTGCAGCAAATTGTGCGCAATTATAGTGGTTTCCTTTTATCATGGCTGCTACCAGTAGGTACAGGTAGGTGGCAATTTCTTCCCACATTTCCTAAAAAGGCATTTTCATTTTTCTATATCTACCTAGGAGGTACCAAATCCTACATGAGTCTCCTCTCCAATGAGTCCGGCAAAGTCTGGTAATGCTTCCATTTGCGAGAATTTATCGATGGTGTCAAGAATCATATTAAGAACTCCTTCCTCTTGGAAAAGATCTTGCCTCGATCGTAGGGCTCGCAAACGATTCTGCTTCTCTTCGAAATCTGTAAAAAAATTTTACAGAAAATTTATTCCACATTAAGTGATGAAAGCCATATACGGAAACGTAAGCCTACCTTGTTCATCTTCAGGTTGTGAGAAATATTCAATCAGATCTTCCATAAGTTTCAACACCTCGTTGAGATCAACTCTTGCCCAGTCTTGTGCTTGTTGTCCTTCATTTTGGAGTGCATCGATACCTCTGCAACCCACATCATAATTTTTCATATTTTTGATCTCAATTTTTTAATGGTCCGACTCACTTCAAGAAGCGGTTCAGTACACTGGAGCACTTCCTGATAACCCGAGCTGATTTTGACTCCTCTTCCAAGGCCATAAAGAACGTATAACAATCGTCCATATGACCGTCTTTCAATGCCACAGCTTTTTTCTCTTCTACCTTGAAGCAGGGACCATTGATAACAAAGTGAAGAAAATTAACGTGCAAAATAAATAAATACAAAAACTAATGACAAAGTAACCGACCTTTCCCAAGCCTTTCTTGGTCACTTCAGATGTTTGATATGACATCCATAGCTGGGTCTTTACGTGCTGCAAAAACGCATTCGTTTCACCATATTGAATCGACGGTGTGCCCATTCCTTCTTCTTCCTTTTCGTCCAACATTTGCTTCCTGGGGTCCTAGACGACAAAGGTTTGCAAAATAGTAAAAGAAATTAACGTACCTTGTTTTGGCACATGATAAAGGCAGTGAGGTCAAAGTCAGCTTTATCTTTGTGGTACAACTGAACAGCATTTTCTATAACTCCAAGGTACCTATAATTTGATTTTTTT